ACACTAACATGTTTGACAAAATAACCAAGGCATTTCAATAAAAACCTTTATTTTGTGGAAAGCACAGTGATCAGAATGAGAGAACAGTAACCACTGTAGCAAGAAAGAAGATTACAGCTAAAATTTTGGAGGGTTACAGCTGTCAGAAATGAGTATGAAGTGTAGAGGATCTTGCTTTGAGTGACTTCAGCTCATCTGCAGGACTTAACTAGTTTCTCACTGCGCTGCTGTGATCTCGGTCATCCTTTGTCGGTGTCCCTGCCCGGTGGAGTCGCACGGTAGAGTCGATGGTCTTTACACTCTTCGGTCTTCACACGACCGCTTCCGTGGTAAACTAAGCTTCTTTTTAATTAGTTTAACAAAACTCAAATTGAATTCAGCTGGACACACTTTCCTGTTTATCCCAACAAATGGCCAAGCAAAGCGCACGACACTGACAAGGTACGCGATACAGTACGACACCAACCGCCATTTCAGCACGTCTCCGTCTTGTACAAATCCAACAAATCTTTGTAGTATCGTTAGTGTCCGTGTTGTTTTCACATTCTGACTTAAGACTCTACTCGGGAAATGAGAGCATCCGAGGAGCGCGTGAATGCATGAATTACACTTGCTTTACACTTTAATGTACACTAGCTACATTAAACATGTTTATATTAAAATGCCTGAAGCTAAACTTCCCTTGTAATGACTTGTAATGAGAAGCTTTTCTAAACATGTTGTCCAACAAAAGAGAACATTATAACATGTTTTTAATCCACAACACCAGTCAAATGCTTCCCTTTGTGGTCAGATGTGGCTATTAGGATGAGGCAGAAAATATGTTCTATTCTGTAAAAAAGGCTATGTCGATTAGCAATGGATTATAAATATACTTATTTATGAAAATACCAGAGATGGCTTGAAGAACACAGATAAACTTTTTTTGTTTATAGCACTCAATAATGGACAATCCATGCTATTTTGGGTAAAAAATTGGAAAAACAATTCTCTCAGAAGAAATTTGAAGTATACATATGATAATCCATGTTTTACTTCAGTGTACAGGATTTTTTTTTATATGTTTTAAAAATCATATTTTTAAATTGCAAATCACAAAAAACACTCTGATGTGCCAAGCCACCAGAATCGAACCACTGAAAACTGGTTTAAAAACCAAGGTATGTCTTGAACCAAGAATACCGACTACTTTGCTGTTATTAACTGTTAGTGTTATTTAGTGTTAAATTATTGTAGTGTTAGGTGGCTTAGGTTTTATTGTGAACTTATGTAAATTTGTTGTGTTTTGTATTTACTTATATTTATATATTTCTGTATACTTTAACCTTTTAATATATTGTTCAATTTAAAGGTTTTTGTTGTTGTTTTTTTCAATAAAAAGACATTCTTTTTTTTGTCATCCACTGTCGTTTTGTGGCTCTCGGTTCAGGCACGGTACCGTTTTAAAAGCATCGATTTGGCATCGGCATCGTAAAAATCCAACCCTAATTGACAGTCTCCGCATTTTCCTGTCTTCTCATTAGGGATGTAACGATTCACTCAACTCACGATTCGATTCGATTCCTGATTTTGATTTCACAATTCGATTTTCTCACGATTCTTTTTAACAAAATGAGATTGAAGACATTATACAGTAAATGAAAAGGTGTCGTTTTATAAGGCTATTGCTGCATGTTTCTTTGTGAAATTGAAATATAACAAAACTAAATTGAAATTTTAAATCAAACAAGTTACACAATAAAAGAAATCTCTTAATATGAACAAACTGCTTTGTCTGCTCTTTCCATTTAAAATTAGAGACAACCACTGGATTTGAATCATGATCCAAACAAAGATGCTGCATACATGCAACATGAGCAGTTTTTAATCTAGATTAGATTGTATAATTTCAAAATTTGAAGCAAAAACAGAATCGTCTGACTCCAAAGCAGAGCTGCGCTTATGAACAGCAATGATACAGTGTTTCCTTGGTTACCGCTGTAAACAAAGCAGAGCTGCGCTTATGAACGCTACTTTAATATGCATCGTTCAGAGGCAAGATGAAAAGAAAATACCACGTAAACTTTTCTAAAGACAGTAAGTTCCCCTCAGACATACATTCATATAAACTCCTACTCCTATTGTATTGTGATTTGTTTGGCATCTCAACCGATTTTAATCGTCACATATCCGAATCAATTTTCGACCCGCTCGCGGTTAATCGTTACATCCCTACTTCTCATGCATTTGTCTTATGTGGACGACCAGCCTTTTAGGGGGACTTGAATTAGTGTCATTGTAAAGCTGCAATATTCTAGAAATCACAGATGTGGAATGACCAGCTTCTCTTGCAGTGGCTGAAAGGGTCGTCCCTTTGGTCTTCATTTGGACAACCTCCTGTTGCAGGGTTCTTTATCTTTAAAACTGTCAAGTCTGTACACCAGCCTTCGTTGATTTAAAAACATAATCCACCGCCTGTCGTTTTCCCCGACGACTTGGTGACATGATCCGCTCTGAACAGCTGGAAGCCCGTTAGATGAAGCGCGCTGTCCGGGATGGCTCCAGTAAACCAGGTTTCTGTGAAGCAAAGTGCAGCAGAGTTGAAAAAGTCCATGTTTGTGCGACTGAGGAGTAGTGGTTCGTCTGTTTTATTTGCTATGGAGTGGAGATTTGTCAGACGAATACTCGGCAGCGGAGTCCTAAAACCGCGCTGTCTGAATTTCACGAGCGCACCAGTGCGCTTCCCTCGTTTGCAGTGCTTGTATAGGAACACAGCTCCTCCGACTAGAATGTCCAGTAAAACGTCTGAATGCTCAAAAGTCAGCAAAAAGTTATTTGGTGTGCTATATCTGATGTCTAGGAGTTCGTCCCTAGTAAATCTGATCAGAAAAAAGTTACTTAAAACAGGACAAAGAAACAAAAATAGTTAAAGTACCAAGGAGCTACAAACCGAAGCAGCCATGCACGGCACCATCTTGTTTCAAGTTTAACATCTTCCACAAATAGCACTGATGCCACGCTAAGGCCCCTACACTGAACTCCACCCCTCGACTGTACCTTGAGATCCTGTCCATGAATACCTCAAACTGTATCGGAGACAAGGGACAGCTTTGGAAGAGTGCAACACTCACTGGGAAAAAGCTTGACTTACTACAGAGAATGTAGACACATCTCTCCCACTGGATGTATAGGGACCGGATGGCACACAAAAGCAGCCCCATTACCCCATACTCCCATAGTGGCCCCCACAAGACCCCCTGAGGAACATGGTCGTAAGTCTTCTCCAAGTCCACAAAACACATGTAGACTGGACAGGCAATGGCCTTCAGTATCTCAGAGCGAATCTCGTCCATTACCAGCACCTCGCCACTTCAAAGCTTTTTATCTTCTGACAAGGAAACCAGAGTCCTCCAACCCTGCCTCTTCTTGTGAGGGCACGTCCTCAGGGTTCAGAAGATCCTCAAAATGTTCCCTGCACCTCCTGACTATATCACCAGTCCAGACTTACAGGAGTCTTCCCCAGCACAATCCATCTCAGAGTCCGACCAAAAGTCCTCCCATGGCTTCTGCTGCAGCTGCAGTCCTTCTGGATTGCTGAAATCTGTCAACAAAATTGAGGACCCACGGGTTTCTCCTTATTCAAAATCCTCCCCAAATTAATTTATATAAATTAATTTATATATATATATTTATATATATATTTTTTTAAAAAAAATTTTTTTTTTTAAGTTAATTTACTGTTAAAGGCTTAATTGCACATGCCATCAAATCATTCTTAAACACAATGTTCACAACATTGGAACTCAAAACCATTAAATGTAATTCCACATGTCACAATGTCTCCTGTGCTTCGCTGTCTGAAGGTCATCTGACAGGTCAACATATTGTCATGGCAACAAGCTGATTTGCTCAAAGACATTCTAGAATAGAAGTACTGACAAATGGAATGACTGTCAAAGAAAGAGGTCGTGTTATTAAGAAGCACGAGCTAGACACATTGATGCTTCAACAGCTGATTGATGTTTTTAGTAAACTGAGGGGACACTGCAGATATCTGGTTGCTCTAGCCGTACATCATTGTGACAGGACTGATTTCAAAATAATGTTAAAAGCAACATTACTGAATTAGACTGTGTAACTCTGAAACATACAACATGACGACTGGTCTTAATTGTGCCACATCTCACTGTTTTTCAGTATCCTGTGCATATTAAAAGCTTTTGAAAATGCATCTCGAGACCCTAACCTCTATTTAAACAAGACTTCATAACTGTTCAGGCTTCCCACCAACTAGTGGATTTAGTAAATGCAGCTTTGCACATCTACAACAAAGACTGTCGGATATGGTGTTCAATAATGTAACTCCTTTCATTTCCAGTAACCAACCTAGAGCCTTTCACTGACAAGACAAAATTTGAGTTTCTACTATATAAAAAGATATGCAGCAAATAACAGTCGTAAAGGCTGGTTTCCGTTCTCAGTATTTACATTCATGCATAATTTATATAACACTTTATACATAAAATATATTTTGACTGCCTGCTGAGAATATATTCAGCACTCTTCACAGTGCAAAAGAAAATCTCATATTTCTTAGGGCACTTTTTTCAGAAAGGCAGGTTCCACAGACACAAGAACAACAAATCCAAATCCACCGCTCTAACAGATCCAATTCACGCTGTCTGGCACACCAGCAAGGTCAACAACATCAGTAATTATCTTAATTATGACCTTCCTGGATTAAGCGTCATAAAACATCCTCCCACCCTTATAAGTGCATCAAACTCGTCTGCTGCTTAACCCTAACCTAGCATGTAATCACAACACAGCCGAGTGCTTTCAGTCTGTTCAGATGGCCGCTCTGCCTTCAGTTACTATCATTTACAAGGTACATTAGTAGCTCATTTAGTGTTCTAGCCTTGAGGAGATAACAGACTGGAAATATCCAAAGTGTCATGCGCTGAAAACATCTGACCTGTGTCATGAGCATCAGATCATGCATCGACATTACACACCCCTAGTTTCAGAAATTACATTTCAGAAATTCCCAGTCCAAGTTGCATAAATCATTGTGTAAAATGTGTTTAAAAATACATGACATGTGTTAACATAAAATGAACGACTATATGAAATCTATTTGTCAGACATCTGTCATTAGCTGGGTTTGTGTGATTTTACCGAACTAGCATGCAAATGTCACTGATGCAGATCAACACAGCAGCCCTGTCCCTTCTAATTGCATCCGGAGGGGCTCTGGATCGCTTTGCATTATTCCGACCTCATTGACTTTATGATTAGCTGGAAATATTTCCTTTGGGTTTCACACGCTCCTCGTGCCCACTGCAGCAGTGTTGGTCTTTTTAAAAGAGCTCATGGCATCTTCTCCACAATTTGTACCATTCTTCTCCATCTTCTTCGGTTTCCTGCACATGACAATAAAAACAGGGAAACATTCTCAGGATTTGCCACCGCTGACCTGAGACAATACAGTCATGCTATAAAGATAAGCCATAAAAGAAAACATAGTCACTTTGTCAACGTTTTTCGAGCTGAACATTCTGTCCCTCTCACAAATGACTTCTACGCCCCTGGTTGTAATCTGAGTTATCTTCAGCTGTTAGAGTAAGACAGTGTTATTCAGCATGGCCTATTTATATCCTCCTGCTTTCATTGCATCTCTGGTCATTGTATTTGTCCAGTGAGCCTGCGCTCCCTACAGCGTGTGTAATGCAGGACTGGACTGAATACAGTCACAGAGTCTTTGTTGTGAACACGACTGTAAAGCTGCTCTGTTGGTGCTGCGCTCCCTGAAGGTGCATTAGAAGCCATCAGCAGAGAGTCCCGCATGGAGACACATCAAAAGCAGCGTGAACATATTACATGACCATCAAGAGAAACGCTAGTGCTGTTTCATTGGATAAAATATCCTTTCCTTGAGCTATTGCTAATTAAAACATCATCTGTGGAATAGAACAGCTGGGATTCACTTTAAATGAGAAAACTGCAGTAAATGCCATGAAATACTAAAGTTAATCTTAAATTATTTAAACTGCGCTGGCTCCTTCTTTTATATACTGCAGCTCAAAGGGATAGTTCACCCAAAAATGAAAATTGGCTGTTAATTTATTCACTCAGACCATCTAAGATGTAGATGGCTTTTTTTCCTCAGTAGAACAGTTCTTTTAGACAATTTGTTTCAATGAACTGTTTCAAATAATGATTCACCAGTTTGTTTACGTAATCACACAATGATGTACGCATTATATTATTAAAGCACCCAATAATGATGTGAAATGTGGATATTTTACATGTCTGAAGCATATAAAGTGAATGAACTAGTCTTCATCAGATCACCTTTTTACATAAACTAGCTCAATACTTGAGCAAGCTCATATCGCATTATAGTCCTTCACGTCCGCTGCGATCTCAAAACTCTTGCCATTTGATAATACATAGAATATCAAAATCAACTGCAGGCGGCAGATCCTTTTTCTATTTAGCTCCCGTTCTCATTTAGTTAATCATCGTTTATTCTGTTCACCTGTTTTGATTGATTACTCCTCACATGTTTCTGTTCTCCCTAATTACGTTCCATGTGTTTATATACCCTGTGTTTTCCTCAGTTCCCTTGTCTTGCGTTAAAGTTGTATCGTGATTGTGGTCTCCATCAGTTTCAAAGTGTTTTGTTCTTGTTTGGATAATTAAAGACACTATCATGGATTCCTTCCTCTCAGTGTGCTTCCTCCACACCACGACCCGTGACAGAACGCAAGACCATAAAGCTGAAAGTAAGTGGCGTCTTTTCCCCCGTGTTTGTTTTCCGCCTTTTTTAAATAGTTTTTGTTTTTCCCCCGCGGCATGGAAACCGGCGCTTCGAAGAAGAGCCTGCCAGCCGTGGCTCTCTCAAGCCCGCCGGCCGCCATTGACCCAGTCCCTGAATCCCGTCCAGAGCGCCCTCAAGTTGTATTGTGGTTGTGGTCTCCCTCAGTTTCAAAGTGTTTTGTTCTTGTTTGGATAATTAAAGACTCTATCGTGGATTCCTTCCTCTCCGTGTGCTTCCTCCGCTTCACAACCCGTGACAGTATCCAGATCAGATGGTCACTGCAGTCACCCGGATCCAGTACGTATCCAGCCCAGATGGTGGATCAGCACCTAGAGAGGACCTCTACAGCCCTGAATGTCAGCGGAGATCAGGACAACTAGATGAGCCCCAGAGACAGATCCCCAGTGAAGACCTTGTCTCCTAGACGGCCACCGGGACAAGACCACAGGAGCCAGTTGAGTCCTCTGCTCAATGTAACTTTGCTGCAGCCTGGAACTGAACTGCTGGTTTCGTCTGGCCAGAGGAGAACTGGCCCCCCGACTGAGCCTGGTTTCTCCCAAGGTTTTTTCTCCATTTCTGTCACCGATGCAGTTTTGGTTCCTTGCCGCTGTCGCCTCTGGCTTGCTTAGTTGGGGACGCTTCATTTCTGGCAACACCGTTGACTTGACTGCTATTTGAACTGAAATGAGCTGGACGATGATATCATTGAATCAACTGACTTGAACTGATAAACTGACTGTTTTCTATTGTCCTCTTGCATTATTGACAAACTATTTTCCTGTTTAATACTATAAAGCTGCTTTGACACAACCAGTATTGTATAAAGCTCTATAAACAGTGGTTATAGAAAAGAATCAGCCCCCTTTAAAATAATGACATTTTGTTGCTTTGCAACCTGAAATGAAGACAGACACCGTTTTTGTTTTATCCAGCTGTATTTACTCAGTGCAACTTATAACATCCAAGTGAAAGATAAAACACCAACATGTCAGAAGAAATTTAAAATCAGAATCACTGAGTTGGTAAAAGGATCTTTCCTTCTTCCCATTGACAGCTTTCTGGCAGAGGGCAGCAGATTGTCCTCAAGAATTTGACAGTATTTTGCCCCATCCATTTTTCCTTCTATCCTGAAAGTGCTCCATTCATCACAGGATCAGATACACCGCTATTTCAGCTCATTTCCAGTCGCAGTGACTGTCATGCGTCTGAAAGTGAGTTTTGATTGAGTAACTTGTAGATCTGTGCTGCTCGAGACACGAACTGATTCAGACGATTCATACTGATTCGGTGAACAGTTCAACTAGTTCACTAAAAAGAACTGGAGCCACAGGGATTAATTCTTTGTTGCATGGTGTGCTTTTTTTGAGGGTAGCCATTGACTTTTTATGAATCATCAAGGACCACAGTTTCAGCTAAAAATCATCTTTAATGTTCTACTGAAGAAAAAAAGTCACCTACACCTTTTCGATGACCTGGGAGTGATTAAATGAACTATCCCTTTAATTGAGAGATAAATGAAATATTTGTGCTTTTCAAATTTATCACACCACAGTGAAGGTATACACTTTCCCTTAAACATTGATGTCAATTATAACTTAAAATCTTTAGAATAGAAGCCCATGAACAAAGTTTGTTTCAACTGCCTATAATTAGGAGGCACACAGCATATGCTCCTGTCCCAGTGTGCTGGAGCAGATGGCTGGTGAGATGATTTCGCTGCTGGGATTATTGATCAGCTGAAGCTGTTTGATTCTTCACTCAGGTTTAGCTTGCGCGAGCGGCACTGATGCGAACACAGAGCACCTACGATCCACTGAACGCAGCCTATCGCCTGCCAGCGACGGAAGAAAGATCAACACCTGCATGTACAGGTTGTGAATGACTCAGGAAAAGGCATTTGCTAGCAAAATCATCAAAACACGTCATCCTATGAAGTCATGTGCAAGATTATTCTTGACCTTTCCTTCAAAAAAAGAATTAGGAGTTTGGAATTTTTTAGGGGTGATAATAAAAATACAATGAAAAAAGAATATAATAATTTGTACTGCTTGATGATCAGACCTGCGTGGCTTCACACTGGTTTTAACATTGCTCCTGAATCAGTCACATTACACTGGTCCTCCAATCACCATTGGACAGCCCACGGTTTTGGTAGCACCCAGCTTCCTCAATAATAGATGTCAGCAGTTGACATGTGGCAGGTGGAGACACAACACCTCACAGAGTTAATAAATTTTTGATATCAAAGCTGTTGGAGTGCAGTGCCACCCGTGTTTGAAGTCTGCTGGAGGACACAGAGAGGACGCTCGTGCTGTAATGATGCTTGAAATCAAGTCAGATTCTACTTAAAACTGCGGTAGATGCACATTTTTTAGTTTATTGTTTTTATTTGCAGCAATATTTATGTTCATGTAGATCAAAGGGTTTCAGTCATTTTTAATCGAGTCTCAAAGACCTATTGGGTCATTCTGTGTCAACTCAACCACACTAAATCCCCAGCTAAACATTTCGATTTCAATTTTTTTTTTCTGGTGAAAGAAATACATAAATGAAGAGTGTGTGAGAGACCTAAATGTTTCAAAGTTTGATGTACTATCAGTGATAGCATTAAATACGCATATTAGCAGTGGATACTACTCAGGGCCGGTCCAAGCCTTTATGGGGCCCTAAGCAGAATTTTATTTGATTGATTATTCGCACACTATAAGTCTATCACACCCATTATCAGTTTTATTTGTTGTAGCGGTGTTGCTTACATCATACCAATGTCTGCCTGGCATGTTTTACGATTTTTAATTGTAACAGTAGCAAACCCACAAGAGTGGTCAGGTGTTGAACCTTCAAAGTCTTACAGTACTAAGAGGCATACTTAATGTGGTGTACTGAAAAGTATTTTATTTTTTATTTTTTATTACAAAAATATATACAAGTTATTTTTACACAGAAGATAAAAACTTGAATGTAAAACTAGCTAAGTAAAATGTGATAATATATTAAGATGTCAAGGCTATTTACAGATGTTTAATCAAACATAAGCTTCCCTAAAACAAGAAGATACCTAGGCTATGCTAATTAACTAGCCAGCCAGGCCCGGTGCCCCCTCAGATCTGATTTGTGCCAGAATAGGTTGTATCATATAGTTCATGATATAGTTAACAAGATTGTGGATATTTTTAATAAAAAGGAAAAGCTAAATAAAAGCTATACATCTGTCATACAGTGCTATTGTGCCTGCATGACGCGTCGCTATGGAAATAATAATGACACGTATATATAGATCATTTCATTATTTAATATTGCGTTTCTGTATCATTACCATTGTCCACTGACATAACATATCACAAAAAAAAATATTAATAAAAATAAATAAAATAAAATGAATCAAGCCATCTCATGTACTGTTGGGGGCCCTAAGCAGCTTAGTTCACTCATGCCTTGGGCTGGCTCTGATACTGCTTGATCTAAGACTACGCATTACATTTCATAACAAGAGGACATTTGAATACTTAAAAAATCCAGGCGAGGCAAATCTTGCCTTACTCAAACATGTAATTACACTACTGCATATTTGAATCATTAGCTTCAGGAACAGTTAAAATGAACAAAACTGCTTCTTCCAAATATCCCTGAAAATATAGACTCTTATGAACACACTAATGAGAGCAAGTAAAGGTGCCTGAACTTGACCGTTTCAGTGTATTTTTTGGTACTCAGGTGTGTTCAATGCAATCTGAAGAAATATTTCTAGTTACAACAATAACTATTCTTCAGATATTCCTTTTTCAATACAATAAGCAAAATAACCCACATTTGTTTTTTGACCACTGAATATTCACTCATAGAGCTGCACTGAGATCCCAGTGTCTGTGCGATTGAACCACAGAGGGCCTTAAAATGAAGAAACCAAAAGACAAGTTTGTTAGGAACCAGAATCTAAAAGGATATTAAGATATCTTTAATATTTATTGGGTTTTTGAACACTATTTTATGCACATCATTGGCATTAAATGCAACAAGGACTGCTAAAGTCAACTAACTTCACTAACAAATCTACCAATCTGTATAATAATAAAATGATGATGCTGCCATCTTTCTAAAGTCATTTTATCAATATCTCACAAATCCTTCAGATTGGTCGGCTCACAAACTCCCTCCAATTTGCATAACTTTTATTTAGTCAACAATCCTCCCTGATTGTTCCTTACTGTTAAGATGAAATTCCTTAGCTAGTGACCCAAAATAAAAGTCATACGACATTCATATTCACAAGTGACGTGTGACCAAATCTCACGACATAATATGGTGCCACATGTGATCAGCACTACAGCAGCCTTTCATTCATGTCACAGCGTGGCAAAACCACACTTATACTAACAGCACTGAAGCCACAACCTTCAGCCACCCCTGCAGAACTGCACTAACTCTGTGACAGCGTTACATACCTCCTTATGGCCTTGTAGCAGATAATGACTGTTAGCAGAAGAAAGACAGCCAAAGCACTTCCTATCATCCCAAGCACGATGATCTCCATCCACCAGGGCCTCGGCAGAGGAGCAGAAGCCTCCGGAGCTGAAAGAGTGATCACACATCCATTCATCGTCATTAAACACCTTAATAAACATCAGCATTGTGTGTGGATAAGTTCAAACTGAAGTATTTATTATGCACAGCATACCTAATGTAATGATTTCTACTTCAAAACTAAATAAAAAATATTTCTAAAAAAATGTTTATCACAAAATCTATAAAATATTGATTTAACAAATCAATGCTTGACAAAATTTTGACAAAATGCTATACAGTTTGTAATACAATTCACTGCTGTCCCGTGATCCAGAAGCACAGGAGTGCACTTTCACTTATTTGTTAGATTCTAACCATATGAATGCTTTTACTGTAAATTCATGAGTTTGCACCTATTGTCACATATATAAATAAATGTAGATTCCTGTGTTAGGTCCCAAGCTTTGTGCCTTGTTAGTTGTCATGGTAACTAATCAGTCTCACCTGGTGCTTGTTAGCCCTCTGTTCTCCTGTGTATATATCTAGCCCTTGTGTTTCACTTGCTACTGTGTCAGTTGTTGAATGTAACGGTTATTCTGTTTGCCCGTGTTTTTGTTCCCTTCTCCTTGTGCTTTTGGTTTCTTTTAATAAATCTCCTCCATATAGATCTAGGTCTCTGCCTGCATTTCATTACAGAACAGCTGACTGGTATACAGTGGATCTAGCAGGTGTGCAGCTCATTCTCCTGAGCCAGGGCGAGCAAACCCACCGGCGTCCAGTGTGGTGGACACAGAAACTTCGCCCACTGTTCAAACTGTGATTCAGCTTTGTTTCCATTAAGGTGGAAGTACAGCGTTCAGCATATTATATGGAGAAACGGGAAGCATAGAAACTGTGGAAAAATGTAAATGGGCCTTGTGCATTTAGTCACTGACCAGAACTAACAGAGCACTCTAAGTGTTCACCAGGAATAAGGTATGAATATGATACATACATGTTGAGTTCTGTATGTAATATGAATAGCTTCTCAAAATCTTATCTCAATTACCTTCGGAGAAGAGTCCACTCAGAGTGATGTGTAGTGATGGCTTACCCGCAGCGGTCAGTGCTCGCGGTGGAGGAAGAGGAGGAGGAGGAGGAGGTACAGGAGGGTACATACTGCAGCAGCACAGCAGCTGACAGCCCTCTGCTCCTCTGTGTATGCTGTGCTGAGAGGAAGAGGAGGAGGAGGAGGAGGTACAGGAGGGTACATACTGCAGGAGCACAGCAGCTGACAGCCCTCTGCTCCTCTGTGTATGCTGTGCTGAGAGCAAGACCTCTGGAGCTCTGCCTGGAAGAGAGAGAAGCCACTGATGCTGATTATCCAAAGCGACACACACAGCCTATTACAGGCTCAGTGTCTGTTTGACTCACCAGCCCAGAGCCTTTACCAGCCAACACAACACTAGATCATGCACACACAAATATGTCACGCAGGCTCAAAACAAGCCACAGTGTTCAGTTTCATTGTAATGCTGCCTGTCCAGCAAAGGTTTGGTCATATGCTGATCTATATTGCTGTATCAGTAACCTGAGAGTTTGCAAACAGCCAGACAGTCCAGTTTTTAAATACCATGTCTGTGTACCAGCGCAGCCTTGAGCCATTAAAAAATTATCACTATTTTATACTTCATCCAATAGTATATAATAAATAAATAAGCTAAGCTTAAGCTAAAATGAAGTGATGTACATTTTAGACACTGTATTATCAATATTGAGTGTTTTTCCTCCAAATTAGTTCCAGACACACAGCAGAACATTTGTGTCTCTGATCAACACAAGCTATGTTTCCATCCAAAGGTGCAATTTTACTGCACACACTTCTATAACTCATTTGAATCTCATGCGATTACTGTAACAGCTCCTATAAAACTCCAGGTTGTGGTAATTTACCGGCCTCCTGGGCAAATTCTAGCCACCTTCCTAGAGGAGCTGGATGGGCTGCTGTCCTCATTCCCGGAGGATGGCAGTCCACTTTTAGTCTTGGGGACTTCAACACTCATCTGGACAAGCCTTATGCTACAGACTTCCATTCAATCCTTGCTTCATTTGATCTCAAATGACTTTCCACTACAAGCACGCACAAATCAGGCAACCAACTTGACTTAATTTACACACGCAATTGTATTGCAGACAACAACATTTTGGTAAAACCCCTTCATATCTCTGACCATTTCTTCATTACATTTAAACTACATTTTACTACATGTGTGCTACCAACCCCTATACCTGTTACTTTTAGACAAAACCTGCGCTCCCTTTCCCCCTCCCATCTTTCCTCTGTAGTGTCCTCCTCTCTTCCCTCACCCAAGTCCATACTGCCAAATCTTCATACTTCCACAACAAGATCAACAGCGCTCCAGACACACGTCATCTCTTCAAAACTTTCAATTCTCTCCTCTGTCCCCCTCCAGCACCTCCCACCACTTCTATAACAGCTTGACACATTCTTCACAGACAAAACTAGAACAATCAGTAGTCACATCATCACTGGGCATCACAGGGATCCCACTTTGCTGGTTTGAATCCTATCTCACTGGTTGGTCGTTCAGGGTGACCTGGAGAGGGGCGGTCTCCAAAGCACATCAATTTCGGATATCTCGGCGTGGATGAAAGAACATCACCTACAGCTCAACCTGGCAAAGACTGAGCTTCTTTTCTTCCCTGCCACTCCAACTCTACAGCATGATTTCACCATCCAGCTAGGTTCTTCTAC